AGACAAGGATAAAGAAAGGAGTAGAACCCGCTCGAACAAACAGCGACGGGTCGGCGGAGGACGGGCTGAACCCAAGGTCACGAAGCGTGGAGCGAAGAGTGTCGTGCCACTCACGGGGCGACTGGCGGAGACCGTAGACTGGTCGCCTCAGGCTCCACTGGGTCCCAGGTGGGAAGGTGCCAGTGAAGCCAGGAGGACGGCGCAGCCAGATCTCTTCGTGCAGTCGGCCCTGGAGGAACGCAGTGGAGAAGTCGAGGGAGTGCAGCTCGTAGTCTCGCTGCGCTGCTATGTGGAGTAACACCCGAAGAGTAGTCATCTTCGGGGTCGGGGCGAAGGTCTGGAAGAAGTCAACTCCCTCACGCTGACTGAAGCCCCTAGCCACGTAGCGCGCCTTGAACACCGGCGGTGCTCCAGGCGGCCGCTTCACCTAGAAGAGCCACATGCCATCGACTACGTTCGCCCTGGGAGGGGGAACTGCGTCGACGTAGGTGCCTGTGGATCTCCAAGACGCCAACTCTGAGTCCATAGCCGCTTTCCACTGAGAGGCCCACGCCCCTGACACTGCCTCGCGGTAAGTGCGAGGAGTCGGTATGTCAAGGGCGTCGGGGTCTCCCTCAGGGGAGAGCAGCATGGCACACATAGAGGGAGAAGCGGCTGCCCAGTACTCCAGCTCAAACTCTCTGTCCTCTAGGACGTCACAGCCAAGGGCAAACCCACCCCCGACGGACAGAGGACGGTAGGGAGGAGCTGGCACCACACGGGTGGCGTAGTCAAGGCGGCTGGCGGCAGCAAACTCAGCGACAGCGGCAGTAAGAGCCGAGACAGACGACGGAGGGAAACGAGAGTCGGTGACAAGAGTGGCGAGGACACGTGCGGCAACAGGACGAACAGCGCGGTAGTAGTCAGAGATAGGAGTGGGGAGGGTTGGGAGAGAAAACGGAGGAGGAGACGGGAGAACGGACACAGGAGAACGACGACGAGACGAACAAAGGAGGGCTGTGTGAAGGTCAGTAACAGGGGACGAGTGACGAGCACGCGGAGGACAACGAGTGATCAAGTCGTGACGGACAGAAGGAGGAGACTAGAGAGGAGGAGAAGACCAGACCGCCGGACGGTCGTCAGGAGGAGGCAAAGGAGGGACAAACACAGGAGGAGACTGGGAGCGAACAGGAGGAGAGGAGGAAAGGCCAAGGGCCCGCAGGCCACTCACAGGTGGGAACAACCGCCGCTCCAGAGGAAGCTGCGGCGGCGGCTGCGGCTGCGGCTACGGCTGCTACTGCTGCGGCTGCGGCTGCTGCTGCTGCTGCTGCTGCTGCTGCTGCTGCTGCTGCCGCTGCTGCTCCAGAAGGTCCAGCATCCGCAGATCCTGCCGCTCCCTCTCCAACCGCTCCTGCTCCTCACGCTCACGCCGACGGGCAGCCTGGAGTCGTGTGTCGTGGCGGTGGGGAGGCGGAGTGGACTCCGCAGAACCAGGGTCTCCAGCGTCAGTCTCCTCAGACTCAGCACCCCCAGAACCTGCACCTCCAGTGCCAGGACCTCCAACCCCAGCACCCCCAGAACTAGCACCGCCAGTGCCAGCACCTCCAACTCCAGCACCCCCAGAACTAGCACCGCCAGTGCCAGCACCTCCAGCTCCTGCACCCCCAGAACTAGCACCTCCAGTGCCAGCACCTCCAGCTCCAGCACCCCCAGAGCTAGCGCCACCTGCGCCAGCACCTCCAGCTCCAGCACCCCCAGAGCTAGCGCCACCTGCGCCAGTACCTCCAGCTCCAGCACCCCGCGACCGAGTACCCCCAGACCGAGCACCGCCAGCAGCTGCACCTCCAGCTCCAACACCAACCGAGTCCACAGTAACCTGTCGCGGAAGTGCCGAAGGCTGCTGAGGGGACTGTGAGGAGGACTGCGGGGAGGGAGACGCTACCTGACGCGCGAGCGAGGGTAGAGGGGTAACGTGGGACACACCAGACGGGGCAGGACCAGGGGGGGGCGGGGGTACCGGAGGAGCGGGAGCAGGAGGAGGAGAGGGTGCGAGGAAAAGAGGGGGAGGGGGTACCGGGAGACCTCGACAGGGGTACCGGGTGTAGTAGGACACGGACTCGTCAAACCGGACGTCACGGGAGTCTAGGAACTGGTGGAGGGGAGGGTGGTAAAAGGACCAGTCGGCAGAGTCCACTGGGAAACCAAGGAAGACACAGGGGACGGCGCGTGCCGAGAGCTTGTCCGCGGAGGTGTCGCAAACAAGCGCAAGGCAGCCCCAGACTCGAAAGGCCGACCCGACACCAGGGGAACCAGTCCAAAGACTGGTCGGTGAAGCCTCGGGCCGCGAGACACGCGGCTGGAGGTTCAGCTGGTGTGCGGCGTAGCGAACCGCGTGGGGCCACAGAAAATGGGGCGCACGGGCATGGATCATGGACGTGCGGGCGATGTCCATGACCAAGCCTATGCGGCGCTCAGCAACCCCATTCTGCTGTGGGGACTCTGGCAGCATCCAGGACTGGGTGATGCCCTGTTCGCCGCAGAATCCGCCGAGAATGCCGGAGCGAAACTCGCCCCCACGGTCGGAGTGGAGACAACTGACTCGACGACCACGAGTGCCCTCAGTGGCTAGAAGCCACCTGATCAGCGTAGCAGTCACCTTGGACTTCTTCGCAAGAGGGAACACTGTGGTGTACCTGGAGAAGTCGTCGACGACCACCAGAAAGTAACGCTCCCTCCCAGACCCCTGCGTCGGGGCAGGGCCCCAGACGTCCAAGTGGAGAGTCTCGAAGGGAGCGGTGGCCGGACGAAGGGAGGAGGAGTGGGGAGTGGCGCGTAAGCGATCGGCGACGCACGGAGAGCAAGGAAGGGCAAGCGAGAGAGGGAGCGACGGGAAGGTGCGTGGGAGACCTGAGACAAGTCCCTGACTGAGCATGCCACGTAGGCGAGGGATCGACGGGTGGCCAAGGCGGTGGTGCCACAGGACGGTGCGGTGGGTGAGAGAGCGACAGGAGCAAGACACAGCAGCTGGGCTGGACTGGACACAGCGACCGGACCCGACACTACTACCTGGCTAGACACAGCAGCTGGACTGGGGACCTGGGCCGGAGGGGACGCAACGACCTGAGGGGAGGACGCGACCGGGGAGCGCTCTGTGTGGAGAACGTAGAGACCGGAGCGGGGCTCTCTGGTGAACGTGGCCTGGAGGTATCCAACACCCACCAAGTTCCGAGTGAACGAGGGGATGTGGAGGCCGCGCAGGACGCCAGAGGGGACCACAGGGCACGGGAGGGTGGTGGAGCTACGCGCAACGGCTGGTCCAGAGGTAGGATCAGCCAGAGCCACCGACACAGGTGTGAGGAGTGGTGTAAGGGTCGTGTGGTCGCGGAAGAAGCACTGAGACGCGCCCGAGTCCAGCGTGAACGACAGAGAGGCCTCAGCCGGAGGGTCACCCGACCCAGTCGCTACACAAGCACCTAGAGCAGCAACACAAGCACCTAAGCTAGACAGGCACAAGGCTACACTAGCAGGAGGCAAGCAAGCTAAACTACGAACACGCGAGCACACAGATCCATCAGCACTAAAGTCAGCATCAACATACAAAGCATGCTGACGCGCATCGTCCATGGACATATCAAAGGCATCAATCTTACAGGCTAACAGACGAGACCAGCGAGGCGTGACCGCCAGAGGGCCCCAACGAGCCCGGTAGAGGTCGTCGAGGCGGCGGAAGCACCGCGCGGCAGAGTGGTCGTCGCGACCACAGAGACAGGGGCTGCCCGACCCGGTGAGGCACCAGTGGGTGCAGGGGCCAGCGTCACGGCGAGGGGGGCGAGGGGCTCAGCTGGAAGAGCTGCTGCTGCGGCCGGTGCTCCGAGGGCCTCCCGGACCCCACTGCGGCGGGGGACCCCAGTGCTGCTGCGGACCCCACTGCAGCGGGGGCCCCCACTGCTGGAACTGCTGCGGTGCCGGCTGCTGCTGCTGTCCCAGCTGCTGCTGCTGTCCCTGCTGTGGCTGGTGCTGCTGTGGCTGCTGCTGCTGGGGGGCAACGCCCCCACCGGTCGGGCCACCACCTGTGGGTGGTCCTGTCTGTCCTGCGCCTCCTCCAAGGCCCCCTCCCCCTGGTGCACCACCGCCGCCGCCGCCGCCGCCTCCGCCACCACCGCCGCTCCCACCTCCACCGCCCCCTCCACCGCCGCCTCCTCCGCCCCCACCTCCCCCCTTCCCGCCCTTCTTGCCACTCTTGCCCCGTTTCTGCCAGTCTGCGGCAGAAACGGCAGCAGTGTCCTCAGAGACCGACACAGCAGCAGAGGCGCGGGTAGCGGTGAAAGTGGGAAGCTGAGGGGCGGCACACCCCGCAAAGAGACGGGGGGCCACCGCATCAGTGGCGGAGGCAACGGTGAGGAGACTGCTCTCGATGGTCCCTAGAGCAGTCGCTAGGAGGTCGATAGTGAGCTCAGTGGGGTGCTTCTGAAGAAGCGCGTCGCGGGCAGTGGCAAGGCGGTCAGGGAGGCGGGTGACTAACCAGTGAACAGTGAGCCACATGGGGGGGGGAGCAACAAGAAGCTGTGCGTCGGTACAGGCAGCGCGGCAACCGGCGTCAAGCGAGCGGAGGTGAGTCACTAGGTCGGAAACAGTCGCAAACGAGCCTAGGTCGGGAATTACATTTGACACATACGTTTTGGCACACCCCCTAAACTGCTTGCAGCAATAATCGGTGCAAGACACATCCCCTGAAGGGGTACACCACCTAAGAGAACGGCAAGTAGAGAAGCATGAGATGTGTCGGCTGGCGCCCAACGGCTGCCATGCAGCAACTGCACCGCGGCGACTGACGTGCAGCGACTGACGCGCACAAGACGCACGGCAGGTGCGCGGCAGGTGCGCGGTAGGCAAGCTACAATGAGAGAGTGAGGAGGATGAGAGAGTGAGAGTGAATAGGAGGAGTTGCGCAGCGGATAATGAGAGGGTGGGTGTATGAGGAAGGGGGAGGCGGCTAGCGATGAAGGTTGCGCGCCGAGCTGATGAGGGCGCGCGTGAGCAGAGGCGCCCGCGCGCCAGCAGCAGCGATTGCGCAGCTGCGGCAGCGCTTGCACGCCAGCAAAGGCGCTCGCGCGCCAGCAGGTGCCTGCCTGCTAGCAGGGGAGGCCGCGCTTCAGCAGAGGGGCCGCGCGCCAGCGGAGGTGCTCTCCAGCGCTCCAGCAGAGAAGCCGTGCTCCAACGCTCCAGCAGAGCAGCCGTGCTCCAGCGCTCGCGCGCTAGCAGGGGCCTGCGCGCCAGCAGGGGCGCGTCGGGTCCGTGACGACGAGGGGCCGCGACGCGGCGCGACGGGGCACTCGAGAAGAGGCCGCGACAAGGCGCGCCGGGTCCGTGACGAGGAGGCGCCATTGGAGAATTGGGGGGGCATGAGCCAACGGCTCTGAATACCATGACAAGAGAGGAAGAACGCTTATAAAGGCCAGAAAAGGAAGAGGGGCAATGGAAAGGGCAAAAGCGCATGAAATACAAGTCATAGTGTGATGCCCCACCAACAGATAGATACATATTTCAACACACCCCCTTAACGGCCTGCAGCAAGAACCGGTGCAGGACACACCCCCTGAAGGGGTGCACCGCCCGAGAGAGCCCTGAGAGGAGAGAAAGAAGCAAGAGATGTGACGGCTGGCGCCCCGCGGCTGCCGTGCAACGACTGACGTGCAGCGAGTGTACCGTGGAAGACTCGCGGTAGGTGTGTGGCAGGTGCGAGGCAGGCGAGCTGCGAGCAAGAAGAAACAGTCGTCAATAGGTTCTTTAGGAGCTTAGGAGAATGAGCTAGGAAGAGTAGGGAAAGTTATGAGAGTGGAAGGGGTTCAATAGAAAACAAGGGGTACAAGATATAATAGCGAGAGCAATATCTAGGCAAGGCACACCAGCACCAGCAGGATAGGATAATATATAGCAACTTCTATGCAGCAAGCTGTTTATATAACAAATATAAGTTTAACACACCCCCTAAACTGCTTGCACCTAGAGCTAGTGCAAGACCACCAACTGAAGGGGTACACCGCCATCGCAGGAGAAGGCAGAATCAGTCAGATGCGCAGCGGAAAATGCAACGGCACGTAGGTGTAGTGGCGGCAGGTGCAGTGGTGGCAGATGCAGCCGCGACAGATGCTCGGTGACAACAGATGCAGCAGCGGCAGATGCGGCGGCAACAGGTGATGCGGCGGCGGGTGTGGTGGCTGCAGTAGGCATCACCGCGACAGGAGCTCAGCGGCAGCAGAAGCGGCGCCTGCAGCAGGCAGCGGCGGCAGGTGCTTAGTGGCGGCTAGTGCTGCAGCAGCAGAAGCACCGGCTACAGGTGCAGCGGCAGCAGTTGCTCAGCGGCTGCAGCAGGAGGAGTGTCAGCAGTAGGAGCGGCAGCAGTAAGAGAAGTGGAGGCAGTTGGAGAGGCTGCAGTTGGAGAGGCTGCAGTAGGAGAGGGAGAGAGGAGGAGGAGGGGCAGCAGTTGGAGAGGCTGCGGCAGGCGCGGCAGTGCTGCAGTCCGGGCAGCGGCTGGCGGTGCAGGCCCATGGCCGCCACACTCGTTGTCTCCCCCCCCACTATCCGCCACCCCAGTTACTTCCCCCCCACAAACCCCCATCACCTCCCCCAACAGCAGGAGCACAAAGGGAGCCGCGGGTGGGGCGACGGGGGCGGGTGCAAGCACGGCTGTAGAAGGCGCGACAGAAGTGGGCGTGGAAGCTGTAGTCGCGGACGCAGCAAGCGGCAACTGCAGGCACGGCAGCGGCGGGGCCGACGGGGAGGCATGGCAGTGGGCCGACAGGGCCGGGTGGGGTCGACTGGAGGGCGCGACGGGGCCGTTGCTGGGGAGCGGCTGGAAGCCGCGGCGGGAAGGCGCGACGGGGCCAACGGGGCGCGACATATCGCGCCAGCACCATGGTAAAAGGCTCTCGAGGGTCGTTAGGTTCTAGATACCATGTTCTCAGTAGGTTCTTTAGGAGCATAAGAGAATGAGCTAGGAAAATAGGGAAATCTACAAGACTGGAAGGGGTTCAGTAGAAAACAAGGGGTACAAGATATAGTAGCGAGAGCAATTTCTAGGCAAGGTACACCACCAGCAACAATATATGATTATTTACAGTAACTTCTATGCAGCAAGCTGTTTAGATAGAAATTATAAGTTTAATAGAAAAGCGACAAGGAGGGGAGACAGAGAGTGTGGGGAGGAGGTAAAGCACAGCGGAAGGGGGGTACTAAAGTAAGGCGTCATCCACGACCGCCACCCCCTCCGCCATGGCCGCTACCCTTGCTGCCTCCCCCCTAGGGCCCAAAATTTGTTTTAGGCCACCCTGGCTAATCAGGGTTTCAGCCTGTCCCACCCTGATGGCTTAGGGTTTTTTTTTTTTTAACACTGACAAATACAGGCTAAAAAAACATGTAGCCTGACTGAATCAGGGTAAAGTGAACATTAAGCGTTCTTCCAGAGTAGAAAGCGTCAGTCTTTGACTTAGTCAGTTAGCGAATTTCTCAGAAATGGTCAGATAGATTTTTAAACCTTGGTGTCTGCGAACCTTTTACCGAAGGTATACGAGTTTCTCCGGATGCAGTATCAGTGTAACTCATACGCTACACTTTCTTTCTAGTCAGGGGAAATAAAACTCGTACACTGTTTTCCAAAGGGTAAAAAAAAAACCACTCATCTTGAGAAAGGGTACCTATCAAGTTATACTGCCTCGATCAGTGTAACTGGAAAAAAGTGGCCAACGGAAAGGGCAAAAGGGTATTTTACCCTGATATGGGGCCCTGCCCCCCCCCAAACGGAGGCAGACATGGCAGGGCGCATGTCAGGCTTATGGAAGGTGTGGCGGCTGATGCCGAGGCAGGGCTCGACGGCGGGCGCGCACGGCAGGCGCGGCAGACGCGACGGGGTGGCAACGAGGAGGGGTCGCGATGGGGCGCAACGGTGGGCGCGACGGGGCGCAACGGGCAGGGCGCGAGCGCCAAACAGGGTGTGTGCCATGTGAAGGGCGGCGCGCGACGGAGCCGCCGTTGTGAGAAGGATGCGCGCCATTGGAAGATCGGGGGTCGTGAGCCAAAGGCTCTGATACCATGTCAAAATAGCAAGTAGTAGCTAGAAGGAGTAGGAATCGTTTAGAAATGAAAGAAGGGGCTAGAAAGGGGGGCAAGAGGCCAAGTTATATATGCAAGGGTTTAGGCAAGGGGTGCAGCACCAACAAGTGTCTACACTAGCAACTTCACTTCATGCTCTTTATATAAAATGTGTAAAGAAATTTTGACATCGGATACATTTCTTCACTCAAAGAAGCGAACGCCTCTTAGGCAAACACGATGCCCTTCGGATGGCACATTGCATCAATCTCGTCAAGCTCATACAGAGTGCCTGAACAAAATAATGCAGCGACTGCACGATAGCACACACGAAATCGTAGCCCTCACGGTAGAACGGGATTCCCTCCAGCGCGCGTCAATTTCAGCACCAGCACCAACATCAGCAACAACAACGACAACACTGCCCCGGCATGAGAGTGTGGGACAGTGCTCGATCATTGCGCCATGCGAGAAACGGGCGAGATAACCGGTACGTTGAACCCCATGGAGACGGTTGCAGATGAGGCGCCGCGTGGACATCGTTGTCGCATCAACATTATGACGAATTATGATGACGATTCGGCACACATACCGTTCAAGCTGCAGCGTCCCCCATGCTTCGACCCATGCCAACGGGATGGTGTCAAACTTATATGCTGCTTATTGTGTAGGCTATAGTGGGGTAGCCCATATGGGGTACAACCCAATTAGGGTTTGCTACTTGTACCCATCTTGCTGCTAGTTCATTCATTCTCGTTCGTACTTCTGACATGGTTTCAGAGCAGGTCCTAGCCTAGGAACGTTTTTTTTAGGGCCCACCGAATCAAAATACCCCACGAGTTGCGCCGCCCTGTTAGTGCCGCGCTACCCTGTCCTGCCCTGCGTCGCGCTGCCCGCGCACGCCCTGCCCTGCCCTGCCAGCGCGCAGCTCGCTGCCGCGCCGCCGCCCTGCCCGTGCGCCGCTCACTGCAGGGCGCCCTGCCCTGCCCGCGCGCCGCCGCGTCGCCCTGCCCTCGCGCCGCCCGCCGCGCCGCGCCGCCCAGCCCGCGTGCCGCTCACTGTCGCGCGCCCTGCCCTGCCCGCGCGCCGCGCGCCGCCGCGTCGCCCTGCCCGCGCGCCGCCCGCCGCGCCGCGCCGCCCTGCCCACGCGCCGCTCACTGCCGTGCGCCCTGCCCTGCCCGCGCGCCGCGCGCCGCCGCGTCACCCTGCCCGCGCGCCGCTCGCCGCCGCGCGCCCTGCCCTGCCCGCGCGCCGCTCACCGCCGCGCGCCCTGCCCTGCCCGCGCGCCACTCGCCGCCGCGCGCCCTGCCCTGCCCGCGCGCAGCTCGCCGTCGCGCGCCCTGCCCTGCCCGCGCGCCGCTAGCCGCCGCGCGCCCTGCCCTGCCCGCACGACGCTCACCGCAGCGCCACCCTGCCCTGCCCGCGCGCCGTTAGCTGCCACGCCGCTCGCCGCTGCGCCGTCTTGCCCTGCCCGCGAGCTGCCCTACTGGCCGCCGCCCGGCCCTGCCCTGCCTACACGCCGCCCTTCTGGCCGCGCCCCGCCTTTCCCTGACAGTGCGCCGCCCCGACCTACCCTAGTGCATGTTCGCCGCCCTGCCTTCCCTGCGTGCTGCCGTGCTGGTCGCACATCTCCTTCCTTTTTCCCGCTATGATGTCTCTTCGTGGTAGCGGTGGGAGTGGTGGCGGCGGTGGTGGCAGCAGTGGGAGTGGTGGCGGCGGCCGCAGTGGTAGTCTAGGTGGAGCTGTTCGGTGGGGAGTTTCTGGCGGTGGCCAGATACAGCTCCAGCGACGTCCGCGCGAGTCCCTCATGCCCCAGCAGCTTCGTGAGTGGTACATTAGTTGGGGTTGTGGCGGCGGCCGTAGAGGCAGTCGCCCTGGAGCTGGTCAGTCGGGAGTTTCTGGCGGTGGCCAGATGCAGTTGCAGCGGCGTCCGCGCGAGACCCTTACGCCCCAGCAGCTGCGTGAGTGGTACGCTCAGAGTAGAGGGTCTCGGAGTACTGCTCGCTGCCCGTACGTCATTCGCACAGGTGATCGGGCTGGTCAGACTTGCGGGACAGTTGGTCACACACAGTCCCGCTGCTTCGCCGGTCTGAGCGACGCCTGGCGTACAGAGTTTGGCGACGCGGCTGAGCTCCCCAGCTGGGTGGAGCTGCTTAGGCAGATGGTGGATATCTTTGCTCTTGACTATGATGCTATCCTCACTGCCATGTATGCATTGCCTGTTAGTGCTGAGGGTGACTGTTACCTCAGTGTGCCGCCCGACCCAGGTATAGAGGCTGCTGCTCTAGGTGCTAGTGAGTCTGCTGCTCTCTACTGTTCTCCCGTGTCCGGCGGTTCCGTCTGGCTCACTGTCAGGTCTTCACCTCCCCTCGTTCTCTACAAACTTGGTAATCAACGCCGTCCTTCAGGATGTATGGGTTGAAACCTTTACTCCAGGAGGACAGCGTGTGGCGATCTGTACGTGCTCCCGGACCGGCCGGCACCTGGCCACGTTCACCCGTGCGCCTGGCTCGAGTCTGTACACACTGACTACTGTGTCTCCTCAGGTAGCTGCGTCTGCGTCTGCGTCAGGTCAGCTAGCGGCCCCCTGCTCGTGTCGCGCTCTGTCGCACCAGACCCTCCTTTGGCACCACCGTCTTGGTCACCCCTCAGTGCAGCGCCTATGTGGCATGCACTCCCGTGTCCTTGTCTCTGGTCTTCCCAGGACTCTTGCCTCCCCTCCCACCCTTGCCTGCCCCTCCCTGCCTTCCCTGTGTCGAGGGGCGGCAGCGCGCCGCTCCTCACTCCTCCTCGTTTCCCCCGACGACTGCTCCCCTGCAGAGTCTCCACATGGACGTGTGGGGACCAGCCCGCGTCCGTGGACAGGGCCGTGAGCGCTACTTTCTGCTGGTCGTTGACGACTACTCGCGTTACACCACGGTCTTCCCCTTGCGCAGCAAGGGGGAGGTCCCTGATGTTTTGATCCCTTAGATCCGCGCTGTCCGTCTCCAGCTCCGCGAGCGGTTCCACACAGACCTTCCAGTCCTGCGTCTGCACTCTGACAGAGGTGGTGAGTTTTCCTCCGACCTCTTGCATGACTTTTGTCGTGGGAAGGGCATTCGCCAGTCGTTCACGCTTCCGGCCTCTCCGCAGCAGAATGGAGTTGCTGAGCGCCGCATTGGCTTAGTCATGGAGGTCGCTCGAACCTCCATGATCCATGCGGCTGCCCCCCATTCTCTGTGGTCGTTTGCGGTCCGGTACGCTGCGCATCAGCTCAACCTCTGGCCCCGTGTCTCCTTGCCGGAGACCTCGCCCACACTGCGTTGGATGGGGAAGGTTGGTGATGCGTCGGTGTTCCGGGTCTGGGGTTCTCGTGCCTTTGTCCGCGATACGTCCGCGGACAAGCTCTCCGCCCGCGCCATTCCCTGCGTCTTCCTTGGTTTTCCACCTGACGCGCCTGGCTGGCAGTTTTACCACCCCACCTCGTGCCGTGTCCTGCCCTCTCAGGACGTCACGCTCGACGAGTCGGTTCTCTTTTACCGGCTCTTCCCCAACCGCAATGCCCCTCTCCCCCCCCCCGCCGCTCTTCCTCGCACCAGGTCCTCCTCCGGTAGACCCCCTCCCCCCTCAGGGTCCTGCTCCCTCAGGTGTGTCTCAGGTAGACCCTGTCGAGCGTGTCGAGGTCGCTGTTGACTCTGGTGCTGCTGGGGGTGGTGCTGCTAGAGGTGCTGCTTCTGGGGGTGCTGAGCCTGAGCGTGCGGAGCCTGGGGGTGCTGAGCCTGAGAGTGCGGAGCCGGGGGGTGCTGAGCCTGAGCGTGCGGAGCCTGGGCGTGCTGAACCTGGGATTGCTGAGTCTGAGGGTGCGAAGCCTGGGGGTGCTGAGCTTGGGGGTGCTGAGCCTGAGCATGCTGAGCCTGGAGGTACTTTGTCTGCTGGAGGTTCTCCGGGTGCCTCGTCACGGCGGGAGTCTCTCTCTCCACCACAGCTGCGCGAGTGGTTTGCTCGGCGCTCGAGCCTTCGGAGTGGCGCTGCTGGAGCTGGGGGGCCTGCCGCTGGAGGCCCTGGTGCTGGAGGCACTAGAGCTGCTGTTCCCAGAGGTGCTCGTACTGGAGGTATTGGAGCTGCTGGAGCCGGTGGTACTGCAGGCACTGGAGCTGGAGACCCTGGAGCTGGAGGCGCTGGAGCTGGAGGTACCGGAGGTGCTAGAGCTGCTGGCCCTGGAGGTGCTGGAGGTACTGGAGGTTCTCCGGGTGCCTCGTCCCGGCGGGAGCCTCTCTCTCCACCGCAGCTGCGCGAGTGGTTTGCTCGGCGCTGGAGTCTTCAGAGTGGAGCTGCTGGAGCTGGGGGGGCTGCCGCTGGAGGCCCTGGAGCTGGAGGCCCTAGAGCTGCTGGTCCCGGAGGTGCTCGTACTGGAGGTACTGGAGCTGCTGGAGCTGGTGGTGCTGCAGGTACTGGAGCTACTAGAGCTGGAGCTGCTCGAGGCGCTGGAGCTGGAGCTGCTGGAGGTGCTGGAGCCGCTGGTCCCGGAGGTGCTCGTACTGGAGGTACTAGAGCTCCTGGAGCTAGAGGCGCTGCAGGCGTTGGAGCTGGAGACGCTGGAGCTGGAGCTGCTGGAGGTGCTGGAGCCGCTGGTCCCGGAGGTGCTCGTCCTGGAGGTACAGGAGCTGCTGGAGCTGGTGGTGCTGCAGGCGTTGGAGCTGGAGATGCTGGAGCTGCTGGTCCTGGAGGTGCTGGAGCCGCTGGTCCCGGAGGTGCTCGTCCTGGAGGTACTGGAGCTGCTTGAGCTGGTGGTGCTGCAGGCGTTGGAGCTGGAGACCCTGGAGCTGGAGACCCTGGAGCTGGAGGTGCTGGTGCTGTCGGTGCTGGTTCTGGAGGAACTGTGCGGCCGCGACCGTACTTCGTTCCACTGCTTCAGCAGGTTCTTGGTCTCCCGCCTTCTACTGGCCCTCCTCCTCCCTTACTGTGTCCACCGCCTGACCAGTCGCAGTCGCAGTTACAGCCAGCCTCCCCACTGCCTGCTCCTTCTCCTTACACTGGGCC